TAAAAATGAGAGGCCCCATAAAAAATGAGAGGCCCAAGGATTTGCTAGGGCTAATCGGCCTCATAGCCAACTCTGATGTTTTTACTGAACACTACTCACCAAATAAGAGTATTTAACCAAAGTATTCGAGATAATATTCGGAATACTGCTAAAGTAATATTTTAATAACCCAAGTACCCAACAATTTCTTATCATTTTCTCAAATCATTTAAGCACTCATATTTGCCTCACAAAAACTCATAACTTTACTACACAAAAGTGTCTATATGGGGCTTTGGGCTGTCCCAATAATTCCGTATTTCTACAATCATTTTATTCACGTTGGAGTCGGTTTTATGCAACTCTTTTAACTAATTTGTTTCATGCAATGTTATTTTAATTCATAACAGTTTACTGGTTTCTTGTCATATACTATGTATTTGGTAGTTTTAGTTTTTATTTTAGAAAATGGAACCTGACATCCACTTTGGAGACATTGTGCTTGATAATTTAGGGTAGAGACGAGATCATTTACCTCGAAACAAGTGTTGCAAGATGCCCTAAAACCTGACCGCATATTAAGTTGTTTGCGGATAAATTAGAGTATATGGAGTATTGGCATAAAATGAGGAGTGAAAGACAAACAGTACGTATCCCCATCCTAAGAAGGTACCTAAACATTTTTGTTCACTATCTGTATCTTCAAACTCTTTATCTTGTCCACTATCATATTCAACCTACTCGTATTTTCTATCTTCGAAAAGGTTGAATCCCCAATCTCAAAGGATCCCTATGCCCCGACCCGACAATGCATTTGAGAGGTTGTATGTCACGGTGACTCAGTCAGTACAATGGTGATAGACCTTGTACTTGGGTCCAGCCGCGGCAGGTTTCAATCCTTGATCAATGCAAAGCCTATTTTCTAAACACGACTAAAAATAGTACTCCCTCCGTCCCGCTAAGATTGTCCCATTTTACCTTTTCGGGAAGTCCCACTAAGATTGTCCCATACCAAATTTGGTAAAGATTGTGTGGCTCTAAATCATTCTTACTTTATTCTTACTTTATCAATTTAATATCAACCATACAAACTCATTTTTCTTAATAATCGTGTCAACTTCTTTCGTCCTAATCTTAGTGGGACGGAGGTAGTACAAATCTCACAAGGATGACGCAATGCTACAAAGGACAACTATACCAACAATAACAAAAAATTGCAGAATCTAAAACAAAGTGTCATATTTATACGGACGAAAAACATATTTAGGCCCTTTTTCATTACAAAAAATGAATAAACATAGCTCATATTTATTAGTCTAAATTGTAATAAGTTTGAGTATGTTATAATTATTGAAATAAAATTTATTTTTACACTAACACGATTATATTATTTAAGAAAAATGTGCATGAGTTTAACTTTAAACCACAAAGGTTTGTTGCTGGTTTTGCAGCTGGAATTACTCCACCTTCTCTTTGCTTGACACTAGACACTGTCATTATGTATTTATTATGTTGACATGTATGTTGAACCCTTAGTGTTGGCCTATAGAAAAATATAACGAAATCAAGGGAGTGTTTGCGATTATTAAAAAGTGATTTTTAAGAGATTATTGGAAAAGTAGATAGTGTTTGGAAATAGAAGTGATTTTTGTTAAAAGGTAAAAGTTGGAGTGTGATAAAAAAGTGATTTGGGATATAATATTTTGATAAATTACAGATACACCCTTAACAATACGTAGTACGAAGTATTTTGTAATCTACATCAACAGATGCATCGGAAGACAACATATGCATCAGATTATCAGAAGACCAAATCGCCGGCAGGAAAGCCATCACCACCACTGGAGAGCCATCACTGCCATCGGAAGACCCAATCACCGGTAGCACCGTAGCAGTTAGGCCTGGACTCGGGCCGGGCGGCCCGACCCGGAATCGGCCCGGCCCGGTGGCCCGGTCCACCGGCGGTTCGGGTCGAACCGGCCCGGTGGTTCCCGGTTCCGGGCCCGGGCCTTCCATATGGTGAACCAGCCCAGCCGGTTCGGGCCCGGTCCGGGCCGGAAATAATTTTTTTTTTATTTTTTTTTGAATTTTTTTTAAGTTTTGGGTTAGATTAGGTATTTTGGTCCATTTGAGGTGGTTTGGGGTGGTTTGGGGTTGAGGAAGAGGGGTAGGGGATTAAATAAAGAAGCCAAAAAAAAAATAGGGCGGGTGGCCCGTCCCGGAACCGGCCCGGTCTGGCCCGGAACCGGCCACCCCCAGTTCGGGCTCGGGCCTCAATATTCTGAACTGAGGCCCGGCCGGGCCCAGGACCGAGGCCCGAACCGGGCCGGTTCAGTCCAGCCCTAGTAGCAGTACCCGGCGCAAGCGTCGCCGGTTAGCTCCACCAGTTTTCATCCATTGAAGTCTCCTATGCGCAGATCTGGTTACGTTGTAGCCTCCAATAGTTGATTGGTTTGAAAATCAGATTTGAAAGAAATCTCTTAGCTTCTCCTTCATGTTGCTGGTTTTAAATTTTGGCCGTCTGCTGGTAGTAGCTTGGCCGGAAGATGCTTGTTTTTTTTGGATGAAATGTAAATAAATATTAACACCCAGAAAACTTTACATCATATAGACAAGATCTCCTAACCCCCTCCACCCCCACATAGTTGTGAGGGTGAAGAGAGGTTTTTCTTCGATCTAATCTATGGAAAATAACCAAGTATAACTACATGGCCCATAAAAATAAACTAAACAAAAACGGTGCTGCCTAAGCACGCACACAGATCGGAGGCTAAAAAATCTAAACAAAAAAGGGTGCCGCAAGATGCAGACACCCAGAAGCAGTGAGACCAACACCACGACACCCATAATATCCATGTCGCGGCCTTCTAGCTCAAAACTTCACCAATTCATGCGGGTAAATACTATATAGTATTTTATACACCACATGCTTGATCTTGGCGACCACTTCATCTTCAGTCTTCGTGCCTTCATCAAATCTAATGTCATTCCTTGCTTGCCAAATATGATAGACCACTGCACAAAAAGCCAATCGTCCTGCCTTGGCCTTCAACGTTGATCCTGTGCGTTTCTTAGAAATCCATTTGATTGCACTTAGGAGCGTATTCACCTGATTCTCAAAACCGATCCATGCCCTAATTTTTTCCCATACTCTGCACACAAAAGGGCAAAGAAAGAAGAGGTGTGGAATTGTTTCCAACCCACCCTTGCACAGATCACATCTATTAACGATATAGAGGTAACCAAGGCTATCCTGTGTAGGGAGCCGGTTCCTCAAAGCCAACCACACAATAAAAGAGAATTTCGGAGGAATGTAGGATTTCCAAATGAAGGTCATTGAAGTCCTAGGGGTCCCTCTTATACTTTACCCGACGCCAATTTACCATTGATGCATCTTGCATTTAGACCAAGAATGGTCTCATTTAGGTTATTAAAACACCCTCGAAGTCTATCCTGAATGAGACCTAATCTCTTCATAAGCTGAGAGTCTCGGCTATGTGGGACAAAGTCCCACACATTTTTATCACGAAGATATACACCATTAATCCACCGAACCCACAAAGTATCTTTCTTCGTGTGAACATCCCTTAACGTGCGGGCAAGTAGACTATCATTCCAGACTTTGGCATTGTGAATGCCAACTCCACCTTCCTCCTTTGGAAGGCAGATGTCATCCCAAGCCACCTTGGAGTACTTTCCACCCCATAGGAAAATTCTACAACTTGACACTATCCTATCCAGTATGGTTTGAGGAACCGGAAATATTTGGAGCCAAAACGATTGGACCCCTTGAATTACCGATCGAATTAGCTCAATTTTGCCGGCATAGGATAGTGTTTTTGTATTCCATGCTTTTAAAAAATCATTGACCATATCGAGTAAAGGTGCATATTGTGCAACTGAAACCCTAAGTGGAGCAAGAGGTATTCCAAGGTATCTTACCGGAAATACACCTTGCCCATAATCAACAATATCCAAAATGTTTTGGAGTTCTTGATCCCTCACCCCACCCACGGAAATGTTAGACTTTCCGTGATTCACCCTAAGGCCCGATACGTCCCCAAAGTCTTTCAGAGCGTTGACCAATATTTCTACGGAATATGTGTCACCTCTCGAAAAGAGCATAAGATCATCCGCGTAGGCCAAATGGGTGATGCCCAAGGAGGGGGAAGGGAGGGGGGGCAATACGCAGGTTTGTGGGACAGAGGGGTAATCTTGGTTTAATCAATTTTTTGGCATTAGAATAATCCTAAAAGTTGGACTTATTTACGTAAATGCCTAGAAGCAGTTTGAAGTTGGTATATACCAGCTTTTAACTTTTAGCTTTAAAGTGTTTTTTTTAAAGTAAAAGTTGGAAGTTGCAAACACTCTTTTCAACTTATTTTAAGTTAAAAGTCAAGAATCACTTTTTTTTAAGTATATGCACACACTCCCTAATTCGGGCATTGTTAATGATAAATCTAAATCTGCCTTGCACTCATCGACCATCGTATACTACCTTCGGTTTTTCTTTATTAATTTATGATACATACAATAATGTAAGGGTTGTATAATCCAGTCACTAATATAATGAGTAAGGAATTATGCCCTCCCAGACCACTTAATTGATCTGCCCCTTCCTCGAAGCATCCATTTTACAAAACATTGTTCTACACCCAAATGTCTACACCATTTAAAAAGAAATAAATTTGTATTGGTTGTATTATTTCCATCTAATGCATATACCTTTTATTTGCGTTTAAGTTCAGGTGAGAAAAGCCAGAAACTTATAAAAGCAAGAGTATTACTTCCTTTATTCCCAAGCTTAACTCCTAAATCTCTAAATATAAGCATCTGACTTTTGTCATATTCAAGTTTGGTATTTACAATTTTGTGCACATAGTTAAGTGCTCATAGGAAAAAGTAACTTTATCCTTGTCAAGCATTAGTAATCGCAATAAGAAGTTTAAGGGGTCAATTTAGAGTTGCTTAATATATTGCTTATCAATTACACTATTAATAGAGAATATGGCTGGTTTGGGGGGAAAGGCGATTGGTTCTCATAAATCAAGTCATGGTTCACACAAGAACAACAATTAAAGTGCAAGACACAACCGTGAGGCAAAGACAAAGATTCCCTAAAACCTAAGACCAGTTCTTGAGTAGTTTGCGGATCAATCCGAGTACATGGAGTGGAGGCATAAAATGAGGAATCACAGACAAACAGAATTCACCCCCCTTCTGCTAAGGAGGTAAGAGACATAATATAATATTTATCTTGTTCTGCAACTGTTAAAATCTTTTGACTTGAGTAACTTACGGAGTATGATCACATGATTATATCAGCATTGATATACTCAGACTTTTATAAAGCTCCCATTATTCAGCTTATAAAACCTATTTTCTAAACACAGACTAAAAACAGTACAATCCCACAATGATGATGGAATGCTACAACAACAAAGGCAGATAATCCAGCAAATCCAGTAGAGTTCTACTTCTCTGTAGCATATATTAACTGCGCTCATCCATAAGCAAGAAGTAAAACATTGTAACCTGTGAGTTAAATGTGGTTATATTACCAAATGTCACTTCACGAGCGCTCCAGTTTCCCATGCACATTGGTTTCAAAGCTCCCATGAATATTGAAGAATCTATGAGTCATAAAATAACTTATTATGTATCTTGTGACTTAAATGGGGTTATGAAATGGAAGAACCCATAAGTCACAAAATAAAATGTAAGAAAATTGGATGCCACCACATATATTGCACCATAAGGTCTTAGAATTTGTGTAGATCATATGCAAGCAGAACCAATGGAGATGCCCGTTAAAGAGGGCAACAAATGCCTAATATTCAAGGAATAGAGCAGCCCCTAGCTAGGGTCCATGAAAACAACTTTTGCTTTTGGAGATGCATGAGGGAAGGAGGTCATCTCCCTTTGTACCTCTAAAGACACAGAGGTATCAATGTCAACTGATTCCGTAATTAAAACTTCCTCAAGGAAGGGAGCTTTTGATAGGATTAATTTGATAAAGAGCATTTCCTGTCTTAATCCACTAAATGATTTCATCTTGACTGTTCTAAGGTCACTGAGATCCTGATCACGAAACCAACCGTCCGGATCTCTCAAAATACATGGATCGGCTTCACCACTCTGATATGACTACAAGACAAGAATTTAAAAGATATTAGAACATAAAAATCTCAATCTTAATCACCAAAAACGTAGGGTAATTGGTTGGATATTACCACCTCAGGCTTTATAATAATTATCTCCAATTTGCATAGCTTTGGGCATTTCCGAAGCAAATGAATAACAAGAGTGAAGCAATTCGTGTGACCAAAACTAAAATCATGCAGCTCAATCACTTGCAGATTTTGAGCAATTGGAAGCCTCTCTTGCATATTTATCGTAGCAGGAATGTTATACTTTATACAGTCAAAGAAAAAAGAAAGCAAGTGGTTAACCTTTGAATGACACAAGAACTCTAAAGCTAGAGAAAAATCAGATGAATCGAGGCTATTCTTTATAAATGGTGCAACATTTTACGAAAGGCATGATTCTCACCAAAAATGTATACGCACAGAAGCAAAGAGTCTTAATGACTCGAAAATGAGGCTCAAACCATTTCCATTCTAACACGATCTGAGTATCGATGAAGCTGAGGTATTTAAGTCTTGGAGCATTGATCAAGAAGTTATCTATATAATGACAATCCAAGAACACTAGCACCTCAAGATAAGGAATAAGATGGATAACTGTAGGGCTATTATCACGGTAAAACTCAACGCAATTGAACTCTAAAGAGGTAACACCAGAAAACATACTACCAGGTCGAGGACTGACCGGCAAACAAATATCAATAAAATCAAGTTGCAGTTTTTTTATTGTCGGGCAGGAAATTATACAAACAGGTAGTGTGTACTTATCTCCTGTGCGGGTGAGAGCATCAACAGAGAGGCTAAGTTGCTCAATACCATTTCTGGATAGAAAACGACACCACATATCTAAATCACACTGCTGCAGAGCAGGTTCCCATTTGGAAGTGTCCAGAGTGAATTTATTAACCGGTCCAGAACGGAGTATCAGAGCATTAGTTATCATTTTCGAACATTTAACGCCTTCTCCTTCTCCTAATAAAACCTTATCAAAGACAAGCCGGCCATGTCGCAACCAAACATCATTCCATAAAGTGGAGAGAACAGCAGTTCTGGCCGCTTCACGAGTATCTAGACACTCTAATATTATGTGCTTTACATCTTCTGGCAGTTGACTTATTAAATCCGACGTAGTTCTGCTTCGAAGAGGAGGATGAATAGCCATTAGATCAAAAGCAGCCTAGAATTGTAAGCACGCAGAGTTACCAACTCCTCATTAAGATCTCGAGCTGCGTTTAAACTAGCGTGATTAGAGCATATTAGCTAAACTTGAGGTAGGTTTGCTTGCCACCTCATTTTTTTCTAGCTAATCCATGTGATAGTCTAATAGTCTAATGGTTAGCCACATTGCTTGCATATTGAGTAGGTCCCACAAATCAATCAACTTTGAAATATACATTTTTAAATGAATTGATTTATTAATATAATATTTTTTGAAATATTTTCAAATGGATCAAGTTTTACATGGAAATCAACCAAACTTCTGACAGATGGATTGAGTTGGTCGTCAACTTTGACTTTGACCAAACATTAATCCAGCGTCCAACATTAAGAGCACGTTTGATAAAACTCAAATCAATTGAATCAACTAATTCTGTTGAAATTTATGAAGTTCTGGATAAAGTTACTGTATTGGCTGATCTGCTTATTTATGAAAAAACTATACTCCGTATTTTAAAAAAAATTATTAAGAAGATAAAGAAAAAGAAATAAATAAATAAAATGGTCATCTACATTAACTCCAGCCAATACACCCAGAAAAGTATGCAGAGACCGTAGTTTGTCCTATGATCCATTTGTAGATATATTTTTTTCATCATCGGAGTATGCTGCTTCCTATAAAAGAGTATTTAAGCCCATACCAGATATAGCATATTGACCTACTTACACTGGCCCACGAGTTGTGCATGACCCATCGATGATTCGCGCTAAAGGTCGTCCGAAGGCTAAACGATTGAGAAATGAAATGGATGAAGGCCCTACAGGTACTATGAGATGCAGTAAATGCAAGCAAACAGGGCATAACAGGACGACATGTGCTAGAAGATCGGAGGGACACATAGGGAGTTCCACTGGGTAATGTTGTTCTTTTATTCACAAATGCATTAGCAATATTAAAAAAAAAATTAATTTAATAATAAAATAACTAATACACTTATTACTTTTACAGCGCCGATGCAGGTGTCAGTGGATCCCGGACCGATTGATCCTTCAGTCCTGACATTACAGGCCACGCACCGGAGCGAGGATGTGTGGTGTGGCCTGGATGTTCAGGTAGATAGGTGTCGTGAGCACCTACGCAGTATATTCCACACGGGGGTGGACGATAGTATTCTACATTACGTTCGATTAGCTGGGTTTTATGGTGTTCACAGATTAGTTTCAACTCTGCATATAGATAGAGCATTACTACCGCTCTACTTGAGCGTTGGAGGCAGGAGACTCACACGTTCCATTTGCCGGTGGGTGAGGTCACGATCACATTAGGAGATGTGGCTGTATTGGCAGGTCTACCGATTGAGGGTCGGGCAGTTACTGGGACTGCATGTAGACTGTGGGTTGATTTGGTACACAGATTGTTGGGAGTACGGCCACACCCTGGGATAGATATTCGGGGGTCCGCCTTGAGGATGGCTTGGTTGAGAGAGCATTTTGTTGGTTTACCTGCTGATGCTGATGACGATGTTGTGCAGCAGTACGCGAGAGCCTACATTCTGATGCTTATGGGAGCTTCCACGTTTGCGGACAAGAGCAGGAATGAGGTGCAGGTCTTGTATTTACCCATTCTGGAGTCTTTTGATGTAGCTGCAGTTTATAGCTGGGGTAGTGCGACTTTAGCATACCTATATCGGCAGTTATGTCGTGGTTGTCATCGTGACAGTGGAGAGATGGGTGGGTTTTTATTGCTCATACAGCTATGGTCATGAGAGCACATTCATATCGGCAGACCTGTCATACTGTGATATCATGGGGTAGATGGTGGTCCTCTTGATGATGATATGGATTAGCACGCTGTACTTGGGCCACATCATGTTCGTGGCGAGGATCCTTTGGGTCGTAGGTATGTTTATGATTTTTTGTATGACATAAGTGAATCCCTTTTATATTCTTATACATTACTGTGTGTCAGATGGCTATTTGCTCATGTCACGCGCACGTCATCCGCTGCTGGATTAGGATACTACCGAGATGCTTTAGATCGCTTGTGTGATGATCAGGTATATCATTTATATCATTAAATGTAAGTACTTTGTTTTATGTTTTTATAAACCATGGTCTAACATAATTTTATATTATAGATGACTTGGATGCCGTACACTGATGAGATTCTAGGGCTGTTGCCTCCTGTTGCCAGAGAGCACACTGAGATATGGCGAGCACGTGTGCCCTTGATATGTTTTGATGTAGTGGAGCATCACTTTCCCGATCGCGTACTACGCCAGTTCGGGTTGCAGGCTTGCAGCAGGTTACTCCCGGACCTTGTGATACATCTGTGGATTTGCACAAGATTGATAGACGGGGGAAGCACACTGAAGATTGGGGGATGCGCCATATTCAGTAAATCACTATGTGGGATGAGAGAGCGGCGTATATAGTGGACGGGATCCCATCATTAGTCCCCACAGCTTCTGTAGACTACATGAGATGGTATTACACCATCACACGGGTGTAAATCTCTCCCAGTTTTCGTTTACCCACTGATCATTACCAGCCTAGCTCAGTCGCTCTTCATATGACGGTAAACAATATAATCAATGAAATATCTTTATTTATTTATTCATTTGTTTTTCACTAATAACCATGTTTGCATTACAGACACGGGCTTTGCGTAGCATCCATGACAGAGCGATTGCTATACTTGATGAGGCGGTAGATGTACAGGGATACCATGATGCATGTTCAGGCATTCTTTCACTGTGCGCTGATGTATTGGGTCGAGTGGATTATGGATATATGGCCACCTCTCAGCATTCCACCGCATCTACATCCGCAGCAGGGTCTTCTCAGGCAGTCCGACGTGATAGAGTTGTTCTTCAGCCTTGTAACCAGCGCAGGCGTCCCCGAGCACAGCCACATGAACTTCATGATGATGATGATCACGTTGACTTATGATCTTTGTATTTAAATTATTGTGTGAAAGTTGTAGCATGCACTGGCAGATCGAATCATTTTGTGAAACACCAGATTTATTATAACTTTTATGGTTTATACTCAATTTTGTGGTGCATTGATTCGTTTTGTGAAAGTTTCATAATATGTAGTTTCATTGATTCGTTTTGTGTTTTGGATATATGTTGTAATGTAGTTTCATTGATTCGTTTTGTGTTTCGAGTGTATTTTGTCTTAGTAAATCATATGTTTGGTTGTTTTTTTGAGTGGAATGGACTGTGAGTCTGTGATGAGCAGATTTTCTGGTAATTATAGGTGTAGTTGTGTAAATAGTGTTGCAGCAGGTCCGTTAACACAAGAGCCGCCAGTCCAAGTGGCTGATTTCATACAGAAGTAGAAGAGCCGCCACTCCAAGTGGCGGCTTTTGTGAAGCTGTACAAGAGCCGCCACTTGGAGTGGCGGCTTTCCTTAACCTTGGTTAACCCGGCAGTATTTTGGGAATTATTCTTAACTCAGCAGTATTCTGGGAATTATTTATTTAATTAGCATTATTCCGGGAAAAAATTCAAAATAAAAAGGATGGAAAAAAATAAATTGAAGTAAAAAGAAATAAAGTAAAAAATTAGTAGGGTGAGAGAAAGATCTTTTTACGAAGGGAACTAATCCGAAAAAGTGTATAAACATTTAATTGAAATGATAAAAGAGAAGAAGAAGCAGAAGAAAGAAGGGAAAAAATTGAATGCATAATCATGGAAAAGAATAAAAGTAAGAGGAAGACAAAAGAAGAGAATAAAAGATTTAAGATGATAAAAATAAAGAAAGAACTTTTAGGAATAAAAAAGAAAATTGATATGATCAGATCCCAACAATCCAATAGTCACAGAATGAAAAACAAATAGAGAAGAATGAGAGAAAGAATCGATGTATTGAATACAAAATGATGTTCCTCAACTGATGGAATATATGGCCCAGGAACCCCCGGCCCATGGACTCCTACTTCTCCTACACAGGCCCATTGAGCCCAGGGGACGTTTCGGCCCAAATGCAACGTCCCAAGCCTCAAAGGAGCCCAGAGTACACACTGGGGTGACTTCGGCCTCCTTGGCCGAAGGCTCCGAAACTCACAGGATAGCCTTTTTTGGCATACAAAGCCACTGGGAGAAAAACGGCGAAAAAGTAGCCTTCGGCATTATCAAGCCCTCGGCATCCGAGAACCCTTCGGCCACACCAACCCTTCGGCCATACGGAGCCTTCGGCCACACAGTGGTCCATGACCACGTGGAGCCCTCGGCTACACAAGGTGCCATCGGCCTGACATGCTCAATCATCGAAGATTCCCTTTGGGGACAGCCAACCACCACATTTAATGCAACGTCACATCCACCAACCGCATTCAATGCGGTGAACATGCCACTGTCGGTGCCACCCGATTGATGTGACCCCTTGGCCGTTGGATTACTGACACGTGTACTCTCATCGCATTTATTGCTGCTATAAATAGCAGCCCATTACTCCTTGTAAACGATCCCAGATCTCATACGCTGAGTTCATTTAATAAAATCAACTCTCTCTCCTCCTATTTACTCTGACTTCTCTCTAGTTATTCCCGCAATAACCCCTCGGATACGATACCCCCCGGGTAGACTAGCGGATATCATTAATATTATTGTACATTATTATTATTATTATTATTATTCAGATGTTCTAGATTAGCTTTTTATACTATCTGTCCATTTATGTAACCGGGTCTGTCAGGCCCATATTAGAGGTCCAGGCCCGGATTTTCCCTATATATACTCCTTATAGGAGGCTTGTAACTCATATAACCAATACTCATTCTATACACATTTCCTTCTTCTTCATCATTTCTTCTTCACTCTTGTTCAATTTCTCCTGTTTATACAATATGGGTATCAATTATCCAACAATGGTGCTCTCGTTGAGAGGTTGAACACAATCAAGTGAGAAACCCTCCCAAATTACCAAAAATTCTTCCTACTCACAAAAAAACTAATCTGGAACTGTCCAGATCTGGAGCAGTTCCTGCCAGATCGGAGCTGGCTAGTCAACCGAAGCAGCTCAAAGTGACCAGATCCGACCATGACCCGTGAAAAATCTGAAATCTCTCGGATCTGGAACGATCCCAGCTAGATCCGAACTGATCGATCAACTGTTGCAGCTCGCAGTCAACAGGAGTTCCAGATCCGACCCAGACTGGTGAACGAATGGTTGTCCCTTCCCTGGCTATCCGCTCCTTGACCCCGCCGGCGCGTGATGCCTAATGAATCTGCCAGTTGAAACAGCCTGAGGTTATAGCAGCTCGCTTCTCCACCTTGCAATTGGCTAGAGCACCTCAAAACCCAGCGAAACGCGGCATCCTCGTTCTCCGCCCATTCCTCCACCTCAGTCGCAGCACCGCCCAGCTCCTGGCTGCTCCGCCGCGTCTCCGGTCGCCATCGCAGATCGAAGGTTGGAGCCAGGTCCAGGACTGACATCTTCATGGTCACCTCGGTTGCTGGAGCTCGGCCTCAAACATCTTCCATTAATGGCCACAACGAGCTCCCGGTGCAAAGCCTCCAGTCCAAATCTCGCCGGAGGCAGGTCAACGTGGCACGAAGCAGCTTCTGTTCCGGCGAGCCCTCTTCCACACTCCGACGACGACGACGACGACGACGACCAAAGATATTACCAAGCGCACAACGGTCCGAGCAGGAGACATTCGAGCACGAGGACCGGCAGTGCTCGATGATGGAAGGGGTCGGAGGCCACTTCCTTCTGACCGACGGCCACCATCTGCCTCTCTCGCCTCCATTTCCGGCGGCAGCAAAGGTGGAGCGCATCCCCAGACCGTCCTTGCCCTGCAACGACCACCATTTCCACCGGCAGGAATTGACCGGCATGTGCGGACTGCATCTGGGTTGGTAGAAAGGCTCTTCATCTGCCTTTTCCAAAAGATATGCTCCGCAGAAGTGCTTTGGTCTTAAGCTGACCACGTCGGCAAGATTGAAGCAAAAAAAAATGAAAGGCCAGTTTCCTTTCAAGCTTAAACCGAGGGCAGCATATTTTTTTGGCAGAATAATTGGGATCTTTGGCTCTTGCAAGGATGTGGGAAATTTTGACCAAGTCAAAATTGCAAAAAGGGAATCAAATCAATTTCAAAATTGATAGCAGTGGGTCACACTACATGTTATCCAACTAAGCTTTTCAATAGGCCCAATTTCAACATCAGCCCAATATTTTAGCCCAAGCAGTCCAATATTTCAGCCCACTTCAAAAAGATAAGTACACTTTAATTTTCACATTATTTTTTTTTTTAAATTAATTTTTTGTCTGGCGAGCATCACACTATCACACACTTATGATCAAATACCTAGTAGAGTGTGGCTTGAGACCCATCACTAGGATTTAAAGCCCTGACTCCTTAGGCACAAAGCCCTGTCTCCTCAGGCACAAAGCCCCGACCAAGTCGGGCATGAAGACAAAACCCCGACCAAGTCGGGTACGAAGACCGGTCTTAGTCATTCCTCGAGTGGCGACCGTTGCTTACGAATGGCTCACACATCCATTCTACTAAGTATTTTATCATTACATTAACAATTCACATCTCCAATTGTTTCAAGTGACGAGCTCCCGATCGGGAACATAAATCCCAAGAATTTTTTTTATATGTATGATAAATGTGTAGGTACGAAGATGACTTTACTCATTTTCACCTCGTCTCCACTCGCCTCAAAGAGTGGGGACTGGGGGACTGAGGGGTCAGAGTTTCTAGATGAGCAGAAAATATCACGCAAGAGCAGGAATGAGAGCGGAGTCAGTTGAAGAGGAGCTGAGCTAGATTGATTATGCCAGAGGGGATTTACCTTCCTTGTTTCATGTTGGGGGCGCTAGGTGTACTCTTTTTCCCTTTATTAGGATTTTTTCCCACTGGGTTTTTCCTAGTAAAGGTTTTTAACGAGGCACCTCCCCATAATGGACAAGGGTGGTGGTCCCCCGGCCGAAGAGGAAGAACGTTGCAGATACAGTTTGGACTACTCCCTTTCGCCTCAAGTACTCTCGACTCAGGGAGTGGGGGACTCCTGATGGATTATATGGACTCCGACCCCCCGGTATGCCGACTACTAGGCCTGGACAGCGGCCCACACACGTTTAGCGGATATCATTAATATTATTGTACATTATTATTATTCAGATGTTCTAGATTAGCTTTTTATACTATCAGTCCATTTATGTAACCGGGTCTGTCAGACCCATATTAGAGGCCCAGACCCGGATTTTCCCTATATATACTCCTTATAGGAGGCTTGTAACTCATATAACCAATACTCATTCTATACACATTTCCTTCTTCTTCATCATTTCTTCTTCACTCTTGTTCAATTTCTCCTGTTTATACAATATGGGTATCAATTATCCAACATCACCGATTAAAGAACAAAATTGAGCGCAAAATCTTTTGAAACGCTCATTTGCTTTCACGATTGGTTGAAGGCACGACATAGAATTCAAGAAGTTTGCATCACCCCCGACCGCCACTTCATGGAAGAAACAACAACCAACCCTGGCGGAGATTCCGATTGATTTTTACCAAATGTATTTAATGTTTGAAATTATTTTCTATCAGGAATTGTACTTTATATTTCAATAAATATACATGATTTTTTTGCAACAGTTGTGAATCAGTTTTTAGAAAATATAGCTTGACTCGAAGCCCGACCCAACCTGGTACCCGTTGAAACCCGAACAAGTACCGGGACTTAAAATCTTGGGCCCGAAGCCCGGCCCGACCCGACCCTGAACCGTCCCACTCCACCCCTAGTATGAGATATCTATCGTTCTGCAACTACAACGATTTTGTTACGTATCAGATTGCAATGTACTTCAAGTGCATTGCAATTGGTAATTATACCGTGGGATCGGCCCACCATGAGCATGGTGTGCCGATCCCAATACGCTGCCGTTCCATTAATTAAAAACAATCCAAATCATCTTTTCTTCTTCGCCAAGCTATCTTCTTGGATCGTCGTCTGCTATAGCATATACCCTTCTCCTTTATCCCTCCGCCTCTGCTGCAGGGATTGAAGCACTACTTTTGTAGATGGGAATGGATAAGATTCTAGTAAATTGATATATATCTTAAAAGCTTATAATGGTGAATGAGGGTAAGGGTACTTTAGGTATAAAAAATGTGTTACCTAGGTGTAATTATATGCTATTGTAAACTTGTGCTTTGAGCTTAGAAGATCATACTTAAGTATGTCCATTATCTTTAATCTCACACAAACCTCCACTCCGTTAGTTAACGTACTACAACTTAAGACAAGCAAGAAAAAAAAAGTATAACAAGCAATCCTATTTTTATATAAATTTAGAGCAGTATGGTAATACAAAAATTGTCAGAATCATTCGAATCTGCAGAAATAGATGAAATGTTGACTGAAACGGCAGAATTGATTGAGTCTACCAAATTATTAGAAAATTATGTTTAAATTGTATTTTGTTAATAAAAATATAAAAAATAACTAAATTAGTCATCTATGTACAATAACTTCATTCAGAATTACTGTAACCCCAAACTTGCATACTTTGACTATTATTGTCCATTCAGCGTAAAAAATAAAAAATTACGTATTTGGTAAAAAAAATTGATTGCTAAGGTTGATAAATTGAAAATATAAACAAAAGGTTGAAAGATATACTTTCTCAATCTTTTGCAAACACTCTCTAACATCATCTTATGCACTATGTTGAGTGGAGTTCATTTGACTTCTAATGATTAGCTGGGTTACAATTATTAATTGTTTCAATTTACTCATATGATTAGATTCTTCAGTTCTTCACAATTGATTTATTTGCATTTTCAGGTACTTTTGCTCTTCAATTTTTTTACCAATAGGTTTCAATTTAATTAAAATGGGAAATTCGAAGGGGGTGCATTTTTAAAACAAAATTGCATTGTGCACATACACATAAGGATCTTATGATGTTTTTTTAAAGGTGTTCAGTATCTGAATGTTTAATCTTAAACCAAACATGGCTTCATGATATCCAAGAGCAGAAAAGATCAAATGCTAATTGATCTGATCTTGGTTGTTGTGTGTATTTTTGTTTGTGATCTGAATTCATTCGTTAATTGATATATTGATCAAATACCGTTTCTTATGGTAGACACTTGCATGTCAAGTTTCTTGGCCCCTTTGACAAGTTTTGTTTTTTGAGAACTTCCCCCTTTAGCGTGGGATATCAACTTCCCTTATGCATGAAAATCGGTGGACATTTTCTAGAAATAGGTGGATATCGGGTTCTATCCTATAAGTCAATCTAATATCACGAGTATACGTAACTCATGTATACTCACAACCTGAAACTTTGTCTGGATCATGTCATCATTCACTTTTTTCAGTAGTTCGTCATTGTCATTTTCTTTATAATTACATCATCATTTTTCATAAGAGACCCACACAGCCACACCATGATTACGCACCATGGTTACACATCGATTTGACTCTGATATCATGTTAAGACTTGATGTTTCATCCTAATAGGTCAACCAAATATGTTACTCAATTGGTTACTCATCTTCTTGATCAATGCCACATCCAAATATTGATGGTGATGCATGAAGTTGGTTAATAAATCACTATTTTCTCTGGAACCATAAGAATATGTATTGTCTATTGTGGATATTAGTCAATCTTATATTTTTCTTAGGAAAAAAGGTCAAATAAGTCATTCTATTATTTTCAATCTTCACTAAGCTCATGTACTCAAATAAAGTACTATCATATCATATAAGTACACTTACTCTAAAAAGTTGATCAATTTGACTATTTAATCTGTTTTGACCTATAATAACATGTTTCATACTTAAAAATCTAAAAATTGTTAGAATTTGAAGAAGAAGAAGAAGAATATACAAAAATTGGAAAAATTTTCGGAATATCAAAGCCAATACTTGTGAATTTTTAAGATTACTTTTGTATTCTACATCTATTTAAAAGATGTTTAAATTTTTTAATTTTTTATTGTTTTATTTTAACGTTTTTAATTTTTTTATCTACTTTTACATTTACACTATTCCTTATACTATTATTAGATTATTTATTCAAATTTATATGAAGTTTTAAAAGATTTATCAATATTTCTAATATAAAGTTCAAAAATTAATATGCTATATATAGCAAGTCAAATGGCTTGATTGACTGCATTTTAGAAGTAAATGTATATATACGACGCTTTTTAAGTAGAATGGCATATGTGATGAATTGAAAATAGTAGGAGGGTGTATTTGACATTTTTCCTCTTTTTCTTTTATTAATGTAACTTTTTGTTTCGTCCCCTACATCATCGTTTGAAAGTCTCATATTAGATGGAATGTCAACCATCAATATTAAGGTATGTATTAGATATTTCTCAGTTTGTTAATGATACTTTTGTTAAGGAATCAGAAAAGTAAAGTCCAGCTCTTATTTGAATTTGAATTTTTTATTTTGTTCTTGTGTCCTCTTTCATGATAAAAGCATATTAAATACTTAATTTTTAAGGTCACAAATTTTAACATGTCAAGTACTAACAACTCTATTAAATCAACATATAATATACATTTTTCAATATATAAAAGAATTGGGCATTTTGTTTAGTCGTGCAACGCGCGTGTAGAAATTCAAATGGTCTTTGATTGTCAATTAATTAACTTTGCTTCCACCGATTAACAAAAGTGGCGTGCTTCTATGTTTTTCATTTTTAGAAAGATCATGCTTTTCAAATTTTGAAGCTTCTCGACCATTGTTTGGGATTCATTCTGTTTTGGATTCTCTGTGTAATCTTATATCCACAATTACATTTGATAATACATGAAATTACATCTTTTTATATGCGAGTTACATCTTCATGTGCAAGAGTTACATCTTTTTAAAAGCGAGTTACATCTTCTGAAGCGCGAGTTACATTTGGAATAACATGAGTTACATAAAAAAAACCTGATATTCAAACAAAAAAATGATTTTTTTTAAATCCTTTATCAGGTCATGATATTAAAAACCAAACATATTCACAGTTTTTACATAAAGTAATTGTGCAATTAAACTCTCTTTTTCATTGGTTATATTAAAATCAATGTTTTATTTCTTATACTATGTATTCGATAAGTTGCATTTCGAATGGACTTGAGTTACATTGATCAATAACGTGAGTTACATATCTTTAAACGCGAGTTACATCATTCATACTATTGGGATAAAGAAACGGTTACTATACACGCGTGTACTGTTCACGCCTTACTGTTTACGCGATTTTTTTTCAAAAAAATGTGCAAAAGTATGTTGTTTTGGGTGTAGGAGCACGGTGCCACCGTGGGGTAGTCCTGGACTTAGGCCGGGTGGCCCGACCGGAATCGGCCCGGGACCGGTACTGTGCTGAACTGGCCGGGACCGGTACTGTGCTGAACCGGCCCAGCCTGGTGGCCCGGCCAGTGACCGGCTCGGGTAGGCCCGGACCGGGGGGTTCCCGGTGCGGGCTCGAATCACCCAAAAGTTGAACCGGCCCGGCCGATTCGGGCCCGGTTTAGGGCTTTTTTTCCCATTTTTTTTTTAACTTTTCGGGTTGGACTGAGTATTTTGGGCCATTTAGGGTGGTTTGGGGGGTTGGGGGTGATGGAGGTTAATTAGGAAAAGGAAAAAAAATTGACCCTAGGCCCGACCCGGACCGGACCCGGTGGCAAGTGGCAACCCGGTCCGGTCCCGGGCCCACCTATTCAAAACCGGTGGCCAGCCCGGGCTTAGGCCCGGCCCCGACCCGGCCCGAATCCAGCCCTGCCGTGGGGTGATACCACGGTATACGAACTCCCAATTGTTAACTTCGTATGTTTTTATGTTCATTGGTTTAAGAACCATCATAAAATATTTATCTTATTTTGCAATTGTTAAAATGTTCTTACTTGAGCAACTTATAGAGTTTGATTATATTAGTATCGATATCGTCAAACTTTTATAAAACTCCCACGATTCGGCTTATATTCTAAACACGGACTAGAAACAGTACAATCCCATGAGGATGATGGAATGCTACAACAACAAAAGACGGATAATCCACTAATCCAGTAATGTTCTACTTCTCTATAGCATAATAGCATATATGTAGTACATGGTATAACCTACGCTCTTTCAATTAGTAAAAAGTAACACCTTTTAACCTGTGAGTTAAATGTTCTATAATACCAAATGTCACTTCACGAGCACTCCAGTTTCTCATGCCCATCGTTTTCCGGACAGCCTTCCCTTTGAGCTTTGAACCCTTATGATCTTTCAAGATCCATTTCACGGCGCTGCATAGTGTGGTCATCTCTCGAGTCATGCCCAACCATTCCTTAATTTTTTTCCAAACCCTACAGGTGTAATGACAACGGAAAAATAGGTGTGGTATTGTTTCCAATCCACCCTTGCACAGGTCACAACGGTTAACAATATGGAGGTAACCAAGGCTGTCCTGCGTAGGTAGCCGGTTCCTCATAGCAAGCCAAGCGTTGAATGAGAACTTCGGAGGGATATAAGATTTCCAAATAAAGCTCATCCACACTCTCGGCGTCCCTTTAAATCTTAGCAACTCATAAATCTTTCCAGAACAGAGTTTACCATTTAAGGATCTACTATTTAGGCCCATAATGGTATCATTCAGATTGTTAAAACACCCCAAGATTTGGTCCCGAATGCTACAAATGCCTTATATTCAGGGAAAGCAGCCCGTACTTATGTCACAGAAAACCACTTTGGCTTTAGGAGACGCACGAGGGTAGGAGATCATCTCCCTTGGTACTTTTAAAGCCACAGAGGCATCAATGCGATCTGATTCCGTAATTAAAACTTCCTGAAGGGACGGAGACTTTGATAGAATTAATTTGATAAAGAGCATTTCCTGTCTTGATCCGCTAAATGATTTCATCTTGAGTATTCTAAGCTCGCCGAGATCCAGATCACTAAACCAGGCGTCCATATTACTCAAAATAGTTGGGTCAGCTTCACCATGCAAATGTGACTACATGACAATAATTGAAAATATATTAGAACATAAATATCCCGATCTTAATCACAAAAAAAGATGGGTAATTGGAGGATATTACAACCTGGTGCTTTCTTATAAATATCTCCAGTTCGCGTAGCTTTGGGCATTTCCGAAGCAATTGAATAACAAAATTAACGCAATTCACATCAGTAAACCTAAAAGTATGCAGCTCAATCACTTGCAGGTTTGTAGCAATTGGAAGCCTCTCTTGCATATTTATTGGAGCATCAATGTTATACTTTATAAAGTCAAAAACAAAACAAAGTAAGTGGTTAACCTTGAATGGCACAAGAACTCTCAAAGACTAGACAAAAACATATTTATCATGGGGCCTAGTCTTTACGAATGGTCCAACATTTTATAATGGCATGATTCTCACCACAAACGTAGATGCACCGAAGCAAAGAGTCTTAATGACAGGAAAATGAAGCTCAAACCATTTCCATTCAGCCACGAAATGAGCGTCCATGAAGCTGAGGTATTTAAGTCTTGGAGCATTGATCACAAACTTATCTATCCCATTACAATCCCAGAACACTAGCACCTCAAGACAAGGAATACAAGGGATAACTTTGAGGCTATCAGCACGGTAAAACTCAACATAAGTGAAATCTAAAGAGGTAACACCAGAAAACATACTACCCGGTCGAATATTGACCGGCAAACTAACATCCATATACTCTAGTTGCAGTTGTTTGATTGTTGGGCATAAAATTATACAAACAGGTAGATTGTACCTATTTCCCTCATAGTTCTGAGCACTAGTAGTGAGGTTAAGATGCTCAATACCATTTTTTGATAGAAAACGACACCAGAGATCTAAATCAGACTGCTGTAGAGCAGGTCTCCATTGGGAAGTGTCCAGAGTAAATTTCTTAACCGGTCCGGAACGGAGTAACAGAGCATTATTTATCATTTTCGAGCATTTAACGCCATCACATTCTCCTAATAAAACCTTATTGAAGACAAGTCGGCTATGTCGCAACCAAACATCATCCCATAGAGTGGAGAGAAGAGCAGTTTTGGCCGCTTCACGAGTATCTAGACACTCTAATATTCTGTGCTTGACATCTTCTGGTAGTTGACTTATTAGATCCGACGCCGTTCTGCTTCGAAGAGAAGGATGGGTAGCCATTAGATCGAAAATAGCTTGTAAGCATGCAGAGTTGCTGAGTTACAGATTCATCGCAATTTACTTTCAGCGGAAGGTTTATGTCCAGTTCCGGGCTGCTCCGGATGGTTATGGACCAGCTTCGCACATTTTACTCTCTTCGGCCGATCAAATCGTGACACATTTTATCGGTATATACTCTTTTTGTCCCATTAAATTTTGGGAAAATGGAAACCAATCATCTTTCTTTTCACAGATTTTTTTAATAATCATACTTAACTCTAATTTTTATATTTTGCAAAAGGCTAAAGGGTCAAATAGGTACATGAACTAACTTAAAGTGTTCAATTAGCCCCTTATATAGGAGGTTCTGTCTGGCCGTCGCCAATTGGGGCGGTTCTCGGTGGAATTTTTTGATGAATTTTTTTTAGCATCTTCTTCATTAAGTCTAGTTTACTCATATCAAATTTCAGCTAAAAATTAAATCGGGAAGGCAGTCAAATGATTTTTCAAAATGTACTGCGTTGTTTACCTGCGCAATTATCTTCAAAAAATCATTTGACTGCCTTCCCGGTTGAATTTTTAGTTGAAATTTAGTATGGATAAACTAGACTTAATGAAGAAGATGCTCAAAAAATTTCATCAAAAAATTCCACCGGGAAACGCCCCAATTGGCGACGGCCAGACAGAACCTCCTATATAAGGGGCTAATTGAACACTTTAAGTTAGTTCATGTACCTATTTGACCCTTTAGCCTTTGCAAAACAACCAATCAACCATTATATTAATAAAAGATCATTAGCCATCGGTCTTACAATACAATCCGGAATACTATCATAATTGAAAACGTGATATGAGATAGAGACATGTGTTCTCGTCAAAGCGTGAGCCACATGATTCGCAGACCTTCTACAATAAGAGATACTAAAAGAAATCTTTTCGTGCAATAAGAAACGAATATCATCCATCAATATATCCATGTAAGCTAATCCGCCTCCCTGTTTGAGACCCCGAACAACCACCTGAGCATCGGTTTCGAAATCAACGGTAACCTATCCTTCCATCATCGCTGCACGAACGGCCTCCCTTAGACCGTAGGCTTCGGCCTCCTCAGGGGACCAACTTGCTACGCATGAACCTCCTCCTGCCTTAATGAAATCTCCCCGGTCATTCCTTGCCACCCAGCTCCAAGCTCTAATGTCTTTTGTCGAATCCAAAGCCACGTCCACATTCACTTTAATCCTCCCTGCCTGCGGTTTCACCCAACCCGTGTTGTCAGCCCTCGGTCTGCTGCTACCCGTCCCTGTAACCTGCTGAGCATCCCGCCATGCACGCAGTATACTCGCACAGCAGTTAAGCAGGCTAGCAGTATGCTGCCATTCATCATTCCAAACTAAGGCATTTCGTCTCTTCCAAATGCCCCATAACACCATTGCCACTTTGCACCTCGTCTCCTTATCTGGTCCAGTAAGAAGATGTTGTAGCCACATGTTCAATGAAACATCCCCATCCCCGACTGCCACCCCAGCCGCAGCCCATACCTCCGCTGCTTTAGGACATAACCTCAGTGCATGATCAGTAGATTCATCTTCTTGCATACAAGATTTACAAGTTTTTTGCAAAACAAGTCCACGATTTTCCAGGTTAGTCAAAGAAGGTAGGGATCCATCAAGAACCTGCCAAATAAAATATTTAATTTTGGGGGGAATTTTCATCCTCCAAAAATCAGTCCACCCCCCCCCCCCAAAACCCCTCACCATCAGTCCGTATAAGCTCTCTATAACAGCTACGGACAGTGAAATTGCCATTCTTCTCCTTACTCCACCAAAAACCATCCTCCTTTTCCTGTAAGCTGATAGGAATACTGCAAATAGCCTTCCGCTCTTCCATTGAGAAAATTGATGATATTTTGCTCTCATTCCATCTTCTACCAGTATGATCCCGCAAAGCTGCCACATTCATATCAACCACATAAGGTGGTTTAGCCGAGTGGATTCGGCCAGCCCCCTTACCCGGTAGCCATGCATCCCTCCAGACATGAACATTCCTCCAATGCCCAACTCTACACCAGATATTCTTTCTCAAAACCTCTTGAGTCTCGAAAAGACTCCGCCAAATATAGGAGGGATTATTCCCTATCTTCGCTTGTAAAAAATCCGAGTTTGGAAAATACCTTGCCTTAAGCACATGCCCCATAAGACTTTGAGGATTATTCAAATCATGAATAATCTCCACCCCTGCTTAGCGAGCATAGCAATATTAAAATCATGAAGCCTTCTGAAGCCAATACCTCCACATGCCTTCGGTTTGCACATGACCTCCCATCTTCGCCACCGAATACCTCTTTGCTCAAACTTGGATCCTTTCCACCAAAAACCATTCATAAGTTTTTCAACTTCGTCACATAACTTTCCTGGCAGCAGAAACACATTCATAGCATAGGTGGGCATAGCTTGCACTACATTCCAGAGAAGAACCGCCCTACCTGCTCTAGAAAGAAAACGGTTATTCCAGCTCTTAATCCGATTGAAAATTCGATCTCTAATAAATCCTAATATGGCCGTCTTTCCCTGACCAACCATACTAGGAAGCCCCAAATACCTCTTCTGACCATTTTCCTGAGTAACACCGAAAAAATTACAACAATAATCCCGAACCGGTTCAACAACATTTTGGCTAAAATTTATAGAGGATTTATTAAAATTTATTGCCTGCCCCGATCCATCCTCATATTCTCGCAGAACTGCCCGAATGGTATTACATTCACTAGCCACAGCCTTAAAAAATAAATAGCTGTCATCAGCAAAAAACAAGTGAGAAACCCTAGGGGCTCCTCGACACACTGCAACCCCATGGATTTTTCCTTCCTGCTCCGCCTTCCTTAGCAAGGCGCTAAGGCCTTCAGCAACCAGAATAAATAAATATGGGGAAAGTGGATCACTCTGTCTCAAACCACGCTCCGGTGTAATAGGACCCAAAAATTTCCCATCAAATTGGATAAAATATTTAACTGTTCTAACACACTCCATCAGAACATGAATCCACTTTACATCAAACCCCAATTTATATAAAATACCTTCCAAGAAAGCCCAGTCCACCCTATCATAAGCCTTAGTGATGTCAAGTTTAAGTGCAATGAAACCCTCCTTACCGTCCGTCTTCCTTTTAAGAAAATGTTGGGTCTCAAAAGCAACTATAATATTATCAGTAATAGACCTTCCAGGAATAAAAGCACTCTGACTTTCTCCATCCAACTCATGTAATATCACTTTCATTCGGTTAGCAAGAACTTTAGAAAAAATCTTATATATTATCACATTACACAGCGCAATTGGTCTCCAATCACTCATAGATTCAGGCTTCTCTTTTTTGGGAATCAACACAATATTTGTGGAATTAATATGTTTAGCTAACTTACCTGAATCAAACATCGTTCTACACAGAGCCGAGATATCCGGCCCCAGTATATCCCAGTATGCTTGAAAAAAGGCAGGATTCATTCCATCTGAGCCCGACGCCTTATCTGGATGCATATCAAAAACAGCTGCTGATGTGAGTTTTCTCGCACTTAAAAAAGATCGTAATATAGTGGTGTAAGTACGAGTATCGTCTCCAGAGGGACGGACAAAAGGGAATCAAGAATTAATTAAATTCAGCGATTAAAAAGAAAATAAAATAAAAGCGTCGTGCGAGATTGGTTGGTTTGAAAAAAAAAAAACTAATGCGAACAATTAAACTAGGGGGTTCTTTCTAATTAATGACGAAGGGAACAGGGATCGATTCCGGGGTAACCAGATTTCTGGCAGATCAGGCCTAATTACATGAAATTAATTTAATTGAGCCTAGCTAATCATTACTAAGTTCTTACCGCTCTCGCGGCGTAGAGTACAATAATTTAGGGGACCAGGCTGATCTCTCATGCGACAGGATCCTAAATTATTGCCAAGACGAGCGAGCTTACGGCCCCTTAATCGCTACTAATCTCTTAGCGAACGATTAAGTGTGTGTGAATGTGTCCTAGAACAAATTAGATCTCTCTTAATTTATTCTACATGCAATTGTAATTCTAGTCGCGATTCTAGGTTACAAAAGATATCAATTAAATTATTCAAACACAAATTAAACGGCATTCATGCAATTAAACCGACAAGAATCTAGCCATACATCATGATCAACCCCTTCATCAATCCCAAATCCCTAATTAAAACTACTCACAATTCATAATTGAAGAATCAATAGAATTGGAATAAAAAGAATTAATTGTCATTAATTAAAAAGGTGGAACTTACAAAGAATCCCAAAAGATTGATGAACAAGGCTGAAAAGCCCTCTAAAATTCGTGCTAGGCACTCTCTCTAAGCCCCCCCCTTGAAAACGGGGGTTTACAGGCTGTTTAAATAGAAAAATCGGGTGAAATTTGAGCTGAATTAGGATTTTCGGAGCCAGACACGATGTCAGGCACGATCGTGCCTTCGATCGTGCCTCCGGAGAAAAAACGCGCATTTTGGGCAGGCACGATCGTGCCTCCCTCCAGGCACGATCGTGCCTGGCAGGCAGTAGCTCCGCGGTGCTTTTCTCTTCAGGCACGATCGTGCCTGACTTTGAGGGCACGATCGTGCCTACTTAACTTCCGAATTTGACAAAACTTACCTCATGAAAGTTGCAGATAATGAAGTCCTCTATCCACCCCAATTTGCCGAATGTGATTTGAATCATCCAATCAAGAGATGTGATCAAAACGGTGGAAGGTGTCTTTCTGAAATCGCAGCAGAGATCATCTGACTTCATCGTCTGATTTCACCTTCTTCCTCTCAGATTCTAGCAAAGGTGTCTTCATATGATTTGTAGCCCTTGAAGTTACCTTTCATATGCAACTTGAATCGTGTCCATTGGTTGTTCCTACAAAGAGATAAGCTTGAACGATTGACAGAAGGTCATTCTGATCATCGTTTTCAAGCTTCATTCATCTTCTTTTGATCCCGAAGCCAATCCTAGAGCTCTTTTTCCTTCAAATCTTCATCGTGAATCTTCTGGTGACCTCCAAAGCTATCAAATCATTCTCAAATTCTTCTCAAATAATCCCGATTGTTCCTCAAGTGCTGGTACCGGGCTCAAATTCCCTAATTTTGACTACAAACAACACAAAACTCGAACCAACGCCCGGTAAACATAACTTGAGCTAAAATTGAGACTTGCAACACCTTAAAGCTAGGGAAACCATCAAAATCCGATCTCAACACATATCAAATGCGTGTCAAAATACAGACTTATCAAATTCCCCCACACTTAAGCCTTTGCTTGTCCTCAAGCAAACTGAACAACGGGACTTACGATAATCACCACACGGAATCAAAACAATTAGCATGCACACGTAGTTAAAGGGATATTCAAAGAATAGGCAGACTAAACCAAGAAAATTCTTCCCTAAACTACATCTTTGTACTCTAGCTAAAATATTTGACAAAATTATTCACAACATCCTCAAAGTAGTGACAGCACACACAAATAAACTAGCTTCCGATCAGAAGGACTTGTGAAAATGGTGGTGAAGGGTGAATGGTAACAATAATAGTCCCTTTGTTTTGAGAGATTGAAATATTCTATCAAAGACTCAATGTATTCAGGAACTTCAGGGCTATTCTTAGGATCAAGGAACTTAGTAGGCCACAATTTAGGAACAATCGTTTAAACCTATGCAAAGAGTAGACATGGTGTACAACTAAGCTAAACCGTCTCGGCACATTTGTGCTTTGACGTATACTTGAAGTACGCGAAGGACTAAAGCTAATTTTTGCAATAGCCTCCAAGTTCATTTAATTAGGTTCAGTTTTCCTTGTCATGTTGGCACGAGAACGCCGTTTCTTTCGAAAGATACCCAAGTCTCATCTTACGCTTTTTGACCGGGGCTCCCATTCTCTTTTTCGTAAGGCAAGAGGTCTAGTTATATTATTTTTTCACCTTTCGGATTCTCACTAGACATTACCCCATTCTAATCTCGGCTTCACCAAGGAAAAATAGCAATTAAGGTTCATTTATTTAAAAGTGAATCCATGTCTACAATGCAATCCTCGAAAGTATCAAATTCCTAAAAAGTGACTGCTCTTACCCCATTTGGGGCATAGGAACAGTGTCAAAAATGGCTCCTACACAAAATTCCCTAAGCTTAGCAAATTAATCCCTTAATTCCCTAAACATCAAGACTAAGTCAGAAATATTCACGGGTAAGGAACACAGGCCATTTGGCTATGGAGCTCAATTAATTGGGTAACAAAGAACAGTCAGGCTCAAAATGGCTTCTCCTAAAGGGTTCTTTCAGGTGGGGTGGATGATTATTGGAAAATTCAATGGGTGACTAATGCCTTCATCCTTTCAACAACTAGATTACCGTGCAAGCAATTTAAGCCTAAATACTTTAAGAATGTTCTAAAAGCATAGTCAAAACGCTAGCCAGCTCACAAAGACACAGTTTAAAGAAAAATTTTCAAAAATTTTGACATGAATTTCCTTATGAATATACAACTAATACCTGTGCATGCTAACTCTAAAAATCACATGTAACAACTACTGCCCGAATGCCCAATTCACTCCCCCACACTTAAACTTTGGCATCGTCCTCGATGACAAAAAATGTACTATGCACAAGGGGGTAAAGAGGATAGGGTCACGCATGCTCAACTTAACTCAAGTCAATTAGTACAACAGGCTAGTAAGAGTCATAGAAACTTCCCTAAGGCGCTGGTCGGTGCAAAATTAAACTGAGTCAATGTAATCCTCGGCACATCATCCCCAAAGCAAGACCCTGAGCTGCACAAACAAAGCACACAAACACAAAAACAAACACAGAAAACACCCCCTTTTTTGGATTTTTTTTTGGGGTGGGGTGGGGTTTTCTGAAAGCAAACAAACAAAAAAAATGCAGAAATAAGCTTGGGTTGCCTCCCAAGAAGCGCTATTTTTAACGTCGTTTGCCCGACGCAACTAACTCATTTAGACTCTCCAATAGCAAAGACTGTAGTGGGGCCCTATTCATCAAAGTATCCAGCTTTCCCTCAACAAATGCCGTCAGGTGTCGCGGATCCTTAAATTCTTGAATATGCGTAGGGGGCACATGGTCTTCATAACCCTCATCAGCACAGAAGTGAAGTATGAAACTATCATCCTCTTCGGGTGGACAGAGAGCATGAGTCAAAACTTTGATTACTCTAGGTGTCATTGGAAGCTCAAAAGATGTCTCAAAGCAAGGAGTAGGGGCAACACCGTAATCAAACTACACCATAGAAAAGTCTTCTTCTTCCTCACAAATATCATGAACATTCACAACCTCTCCTCCGGACTCTGTATCACTCCCCATGAAGGCATCCCAACTCTCGTTAACACCGTTCTCATCAGGGTCTTCAAAAACATCAGGAAGTGTATCATCCATCATATTCCCACCATCATAGTCTGACTCGCTCACGTGATCATCCATATTGGTCTCCTCAGGTTGGGCTTCTGTGTCGCTAGGATGGGATCTCTCGGACTCCTCAGATATGGCGTTAAACAGTTGATCCAAGTGATTCTGGATGTTCTGAAGTCTTGACTGTGTTAACTGTTGATTTGTCTCAGTTGTTTGCATGAATTGCTTGAGTGTTTCTTCCAGGTCAGACAGTTTCTCTGAAATTATCTCTTCCCATTCATCCTGTGGTTCATAGCTCGGCAAAGACGTAGGAGTGACTGAAACATTTGTGTTCGTAAATTGTGGGGAGGAAGAAGTGGGGTAAGCAGTTTCCCGGAAAGGATGGTCATATAGAGGTTTGATGGGGCAAAGACATAAATGGTGACCTCCTCCACAGAAGGAACAAATGCTACCCTTAAAACATTCAGATATTTCCTCAGGCGTTTTATTTAGAAGCATAAATTCAAGAATGGAGTCTCGTCTTACGCTTACCCAAGGGTATTGTGATGAAGGATAGTAAGAATCAGAATGAAAGAGATGAGTGGTTGGAGTGTACGGATAAGAAGGCTGAATGTTTTGTGGTGTAGGAGAGTAATTTTGATTAGGTGTGTAATATTGAGGAGGAGTGTAAGGAGGGTATGGCGTATATGGTGAATATTCCATGGAGGTTTGAGAGTAAGGAATTCCTCCAGGAATTTGGCTGAATGGGTTCATCTCATGCCTCTTAGAAAAATACCTGAAAGGTTAGCACAGAAGAATCCTACGAAGAAAAATTAACTAAAAAAAATCTCGATGAAATTAATTAACTCTTAAAACCGACACCGTCCCCGGCAACGACACCAACAACTGATGTGAGTTTTCTCGCACTCGAAAAAGATCGTAATATAGTGGTGTAAGTACGAGTATCGTCTCCACAGGGACGGACAAAAGGGAATCAAGAATTAATTAAATTCAGCGATTAAAAAGAAAATAAAATAAAAGTGTCGTGCGAGATTGGTTGGTTTGGAAAAAAAACTAATGCGAACAATTAATCTAGGGGGTTCTTTCTAATTAATGACGAAGGGAACAGGGATCGATTCCGGGGTAACCAGATTTCTGGCAGATCAGGCCTAATTACATGAAATTAATTTAATTGAGCCTAGCTAATCATTACTAAGTTTTTACCGCTCTCGCAGCGTAGAGTACAATAATTTAGGGGACCAGGCTGATCTCTCATGCGACAGGATCCTAAATTATTGCCAAGACGAGCGAGCTTACGGCCCCTTAATCGCTACTAATCTCTTAGCGAACGATTAAGTGTGTGTGAATGTGTCCTAGAACAAATTAGATCTCTCTTAATTTATTCTACATGCAATTGTAATTCTAGTCGCGATTCTAGGTTACAAAAGATATCAATTAAATTATTCAAACACAAATTAAACGGCATTCATGCAATTAAACTGACAAGAATCTAGCCATACATCATGATCAACCCCTTCATCAATCCCAAATCCCTAATTAAAACTACTCACAATTCATAATTGAAAAATCAATAGAATTGGAATAAAAAGAATTAATTGTCATTAATTAAAAAGGTGGAACTTACAAAGAATCCCAAAAGATTGATGAACAAGGCTGAAAAGCCCTCTAAAATTCGTGCTAGGCACTCTCTGTAACACCCTACCCGAACCGGCCCCGCCGACCCGAGCGGTGTGTCACGTGGCAGGAATCAAAACAGATTTAACCAAAAGACTTTTAGTTATTTAAACAAAATTAAGTATTTAAATAAAACATATCTATTGAAATGTTAACTTATTATTCAATATGTGAAAATATCAAGTCGCCATAAATCACTTAATATTAAACATCACAAAATATTTTAACGAATGCAGCGGAAGTTCTTAAAATCGCATATGGCATTTTAAAGTCCTTTAATAAACACCGAATAATATGACATGCAAATGAGTCCTACGCCTCCTTCAATCCCAGTGCTCCTAGCGAGTTCCGTGCTTAACCTACGGGTAGGAAAACAAACAACTACCCGCTCAGCAATGTGCTGAGTGGTACGGTAATAACAATAACAACAATATTAACATATCAGGGCACATATAAACATATCAGAATTGTAATATCAACATATCAGGGCATATATAAACATGTCAGAAATCACATCTAGTCAGATAGCATATAACATACCTGGGTGATCTGAGCAGTTATTATAAGCATACAAATATTTATATATATATACAGAACAGAAACATATTCAAATATCATAATTATCAGAATATTTTTATTCTGAGACTATTGTTATTTTACTTTTGTACAGAACAGAAACGTATTCAGATATCATAATTATCAGAAAATTCTTATTCTGAATCATTTATAAACATATTCATTTAAGCCTTGTACTCAAGAATCTGGACCTAGACAGAGGAACACTAACGGTAAGGAATACAGACATAAAGTCCATACCCACATTACCCAGAAAGGATATGGAAACGTAATCGCCGGAGCTACACGTACCAATCCCTAACAGAAGCTAGCTGAACAGAAAGGACGAGATCACCGAGGAGACTCGAACCTTAACAGAAGAGTAATAGTGCTCTAAAAAGATTTCAGGAGTGTACATAGTACACTAAACAGGAGAACACTAATTCCTCTAATACAGAATTTCAGAAGTGTACATAGTACACTAAACAGATCAGATCAGGAGTATTCGTGTCAGAGTGCCGGATCAGGAGTAAGGCATTTAAGAAGCATTTATCTTTAGCTTATTTACAAATAATAACAAAAGATGGAATTATCATATCTTAATTTTTTTAGGAGTTCTTCAGAATTTATAATTTAATCTTACACGGAAAACTTTTCATAACATTTCTAATTACTACATAGCATCTGGAGCATCTCTACCGAATTGTTTTTAAATAAAATACTTCGTATAACTTAAACAAACAAATCGTAGCCATTACTTTAGATCTCTACATATGTACTAAATTTACATGGTCAACTTGTACTTTATTTTATAGCTCATATAACTTATTATTATTATTTTTACTTACGTAAACAGTACTACTTTAAAATATACTGTCTTAAATGTTATTATAATTTTAAACCGTAATATTTAGCCACATATTTATATATATCTAGCACCTAGGAAAAATTGGCTACTTTTAGCTAAATTAGTTAATGCATGAGAATATAAACATTACACGTATCATTGCACTACACACATATGCATACACCTATTTAGCTAAGTCGGTCACTTTTACTTCTATATTCACTAAATAAATGTATAATTTATAAATATATTTTTATACTCCGATCCGTACTTCAATATTCAGATCGAATGCAGTATAATTAAGTATGTGTATAAACTGATTCGTATACATAGTTGAAATCTTACAGATCTTATCTGAAGTGCGTATATGTAGCGAAACTCAAATAAATTTATACAGATCAGGAAATAAGTTTTCTTTTATTTTAAAAGAATTTACTTAAAATCATAATAAAACTCTATTATTAAATAATGACTCGTAACTCGTAAGTAAATATCTAAAACTAGTTTAGACTATATATTTTATTCATTTACGAAAGTCAATTTATTAAATACTAGTTAAATGATCTCATAATAAAACGTGCGTGGAAGTTGTGTAAACAAATACGTATACATGCATTCTTCTTCTTCATATTGCGTATTACGAGTAAGAAATAAAATAATTAATTGAGTATGTAACTACTACATGAAGTTATATTTATTAATACATCTACTTAATACATACACTTCGCATACAGGTACGAGTATCAAAACATATCAGTTTATATTTTGTAGATACCAGCTTCTTATAATTTCCAGTAGACTTACTCCTTTTTATTTTTAATATATACATCAGTGAATAACAGTCAGATATGATTCTAAAATTGATATTACATATAAATTAAAATACACATATTCAGAGCATGTACAATATTTCTAAACTTATACAACATTCATCATCCCCATAACATCTCAGGAACAGGGACGAAATAATATAATACTAGCAAAAATGGGGATAGGAAACGTACGAACCTTATAGACAAATTCTCCTGATATTTTTGTTGATATTTTTGTTGATATGAGAACCTCCTATACGGCTACCACTCTTCTTCTTTCAGTTATGTTTCTTCTAATTGGTTTCTTACTTTTTTTTTTGTGATCGGGGCCGTGTGTATGAAATAAGAGGAGGTAATAAGCTCCTATTTAAAGCCAAATAAATGTCATGTGTATGGCTAGGATTTTAATGAAGCAAATAATTGAATTGTCTTTTCCTCTATCTCATTACTACGTACTATACATGCATGTATGATCATTCATTTGCCCATACCATGAGTTGGCTTTACTATTCCTTTATTTAAAATACTTCACCACAATTGATTTAGCTTGTCAAATCTGTCTCCTAAATGTTACTATTCAAAATAATTATTCACTCAAATAAATCAAGTCATTTAATTTGGTTGTTCTCACGTCCCTTATTATTATCTTACAATATATCTTAAATCTATTATTTTACTTTTAATAATAATTTTCTTTTAAAACTATTTACATTAAAATTTTAAGATGTTAAATTTGATAGAGAAATAATATCTAAAAATCTACTCAAATGTATCTTAACTACTAGACTAGTTTTTGGGGCGTTACACTCTCTCTAAGCCCCCCCTTGAAAACGGGGGTTTACAGGCTGTTTAAATAGAAAAATCGGGTGAAATTTGAGCTGAATTAGGATTTTCGGAGCCAGACACGATGCCAGGCACGATCGTGCCTCCGGAGCAAAAACGCGCATTTTGGGCAGGCACGATCGTGCCTCCCTCCAGGCACGATCGTGCCTCCCTCCAGGCACGATCGTGCCTGGCAGGCAGTAGCTCCGCGGTGCTTTTCTCTTCAGGCACGATCGCGCCTGACTTTGAGGGCACGATCGTGCCTACTTAACTTCCGAATTTGACAAAACTTTCTTTACGAGTTGCAGATAATGAAGTCCTCTATCAACCCCAATTTGCCGAATGTGATTTGAATCATCCAATCAAGAGATATGATCAAAACGGTGGAAGGTGTCTTTTTGAAATCGCAGCAGAGATCATCTGACTTCATCGTCTGTTTTCACCTTCTTCCTCTCAGATTCTCGCAAAGGTGTCTTCATATGATTTGTAGCCCTTGAAGTTACCTTTCATATGCAACTTGAATCGTGTCCATTGGTTGTTCCTACAAAGAGATAAGCTTGAACGATTGACAGAAGGTCATTCTGATCATCGTTTTCAAGCTTCATTCATCTTCTTTTGATCCCGAAGCCAATCCTAGAGCTCTTTTTCCTTCAAATCTTCATCGTGAATCTTCCGGTGACCTCCAAAGCTATCAAATCATTCTCAAATTCTTCTCAAATCATCCCGATTGTTCCTCAACTGCGAATATCACCTCGAGCTATACATACATATATACATATTTGTATACAAATTTTCGACCATTCGTTTTAGCCAGAAACGAGACTTGAAAACACTTCTGAGACCTTCCCCTTCGTGAGAGGAATCCAACGGTGAAAGAATCATAGAAAACGGTCGTGAAACGAGAGACATATCACTTGCCGGAGTTGCAATTTGACCGTAGATAGGGGTGGCGGAGCTTCTCCTCAACGTCAGGATCATTTTGCAATTTGAATCGTTTAAATCCGTTACCTGTAAGTAAAGTTATCGCTCGCCGAAGTTTACGTAATTCCGGCCGCCGGAATCGCGGCCTGGAGAAGAACTGGGAAGAAGACAACCCAGTCTTCTTGGGCCGGGTCGCGAATTTGGGCCAGTTCGGCCCAGTTTTAATAAAAAATAAAAATAAAATAGTAAATCAAATAAATAAAATCTGGAAAAATATTAATTAAATACCTAGTATAAATATACATATTTGGACCAACCAGAATTGAAAGATAATATTTTTAGCTATTTTTAATTGATTTAATTGTAATTGGGCCAAGTTGTACACATTTAGCAAAATATTAACTAAATAGGGAAAATAATTATGAAATAAATATTGGAGTAAACTATATTAAATATATGAATAACTAAGACATTTGGGACCATTTATAATTAATAAAATATATGATTAGTATATTTAATTGTAATTAAAGCAGTTAGTAGATATATGAAATTAAATGAATAAATAAGGGAAATAATTCTAAAATAAATATATGGAAAACCTAAGTCAAATATAGACCCAAAATATGGTTATGGACGGTTATTAATTTATGAAGTCAATTCTTGAGCTATTTTAATTGGGCCATATAAAACTAGTTGAGTAATTAGATAAGGAAATTTTGATATTAATGGTGAAATAAATAAATCACTGAGATTGAAAATAATATTCTGGACTAAAAAAAAAGATGTTTGGAATAAAATAAGGAAAAGAAAATAAAGTTGGGTTAGCTAGCATAAATGAATGACTATATTTGGACTTAATAAATAAATTATTGAATTAGTGGACTAATTAAAATAGTTTGATTAAATTAATAATTATTATGCTTGATCATTATTGATTCGAATTTCAGTTGTTAAACTATTTGAACTTATAAACATTAGTTGATTAATATAAATAAATTAATTAAGCAATCGGTGCTTAATAATTTAGTTAATTGACTTTATTGAACTAATTTTACTAAATAAATTACTAATGGGTAAATTAGTTAAATTATGGACTTGGTAATATTTTTGGACTTTATAATCAAAATAGAAAATTTAAAACGAAATTAGAATTTGATTATTGGCCTTAATTGAATTGGATTAATGTATTTAGCTATATTGATATAATTAAACTTATTTAGTTGATGAAGTTAGTTCAATTAAATTAGTTAATCAAATAAATAAATCTGGAGGGTGTGATTAGTTAATAGGTTAGTTAGTATAAATAAACTATTGAGCTAATTAAAGTTATTATTGGGATTAGATTATCATTAATGATTATTATTTCGAATTTTTGCTTACGCTAAACTATTATTAAAAGATTTATTAAATAAACTATATAAGTTATGTAAACTGAATTTTGGACTGAAATTGATTATTTAATTCGAAATAATAAAATTATTATGTAATTAAGTTAATTAGACTAGTTAACTAATCAACCAAATGAATTAAAGTAAATTATGGAGGGGATTAGTATGATCAAAGAAAATAATAAGGTTGGACAGAAAATTAACATTTTAAATAAGGTTTATGAATCTAACCTAATAGTTATATTTAAAGAAGGAATTATAAAATTAAAATAATTAAAGGTGGGATAGATAGGAAATAACAAAAATAATAGAATAGTTATTGATTTAGAATTTTTATATATATTAGAAGGAGAATTCAAGTGAAGACCAAGTTAGAGATTTTATTAAGGGTATTATTGCGATTTAAGGTAAGTTTCTCTGCCGATCCAAAATGTTTTCCTCGTATTATATGCTTATTATGCATTATGTGATTAAGTGTGAATTTTGAATTATGTGTATGTGATTTTGAGGAGATATTATATATATGGTAGTTGAGAAATACAAATTAATTAAGTACTTTTGGGTATTAAATATTTTTAAATACCTTTGAGACTATTTAGAGAGATTGAGAAATATTTTTGGAAGTATATCTAAAGTCAAGATAAAATTTACGTTTTTATAAGAAGTGAGCACCCGGGAGAAATCTGTGGTGTCGGTTTTCCACATCCGGATAAATGTGGAGGGTGATTAAGGCTGCTACTACTGAGAAGTACAGTTTGAGTTTGAAGTGACATTTGGATCTATGATCCCTTTTAAGAAGAAGTTATAGTAGTAGTAGTCCCTAATCATTCAAGAATTTTAAAGGTGGGGTAGTTGGTAGACTGAGTCCCGATTACTCGTGACGACTTACTACTCGGAGGGCTTGGAATCCCTTTTAGGGGGTGTGCACACTTAAGGTAGTCGTTTCGTTTCCATTAGCAGTTGTGGTACCGGCAAAAGTTCCCGGGGTGGCCGTACATAACAACGTAACCACCAGGCTCGACCAGAGTGTTGGGCACCGCCCTTCTAAATTACTAGGAAGATATAGAAGAAGTGAATTTTGAGGAATTATAAGCGAAGATTTACTATAGTATTTTCAAAGAAAAGTTGAGGACTTTATTAAAGAAGTGATTTTGAGAAATATCAAAGAGAAAGAATTTTGGTGGAGTGTGTCATTTTTTTTTTGTATTATATGAAAAACTATTTTTAGCCAAACCTGATTATTTTACGGGGTTGGGTAGTACTTACTTAGCTCTAAAGCTAATGTTTGTTTCCTTTTCTTGGTTTTGTTTTCTGCACTTTATTTGTGCAGGTGATGATGCTTATGTGGATTGATGATTGTATGACCACGAGAGCGGTTTAGAGATGCCTTAGTCAAACCTAGTCATAAATAAACAATCCAATTATGTTGAACACTTGTTTTACTTTGTTTGGTGATTGCCTGTGCTTTCGGTTAAGAGATGACTGGATGTGGCGGTAACACCCATTTCCCAATGAATGTTATTTCCGCTGCAAAACTTTTTATTTGTTTGAAAGAATAAACCAAGTTATTATCAATAAATCTATTATTTCAAGTATTATTTTGGGAGGGAAAATGGGGGTGTTACATAGAGTGCCCCCCCCCCCGGCAAAGATTAAAGGAGAGGAAGAATTGCTCTAAGGTGGGCTCAACTCCCCTCTCTCGGCACAACGCTAAGAAGCCCGCCAGGTAAGAATGACTATTTGGAGTCAACTGGCAGGGGGCAAGTTTGACAAACCGGAGATATTGGAGCACGAAGGGATAGAGAGGGAACCGAAGGCCCAACTCCACCGAGAGTATGTGTACGGCGAAACAGCCGTCGGGGGCATGCAACAGCACATCATTTGGCCCCGGCTCCACCACCTGCGTTGAAGGCCCGACGAAGAACTGTGTTGCCATATATTCCGCATGTGTAGCCTTTGTCTTCACCTCTAAGGCGGTAGTGTTCAGATATGAGTGCCCTTCGGGTATTCTCACCGGCCTCCCAGCGTCGACAGCTGCTTGTTTCTTCTTCGGGGCCCCCCAGATCTTCTTCTTCTTATTGCCCGGAGCCACACTCAGAGGTTCCGGATCGAGTGGCCTTGAGCTCCCTGCTTCGGCATCATTGCGGGGGGTGGAGCAGCGATGGTCACTTTCATCCTCTTCTTCTCTTCTTCCTCCTCGGCAGTTTGGACTGCGAGGGCCATCTCCTCATCTTCGATCACTTGCTCAAACTCCTCGGCTTCGGCCTCGGTTATGAGCCGGTTCTGGACTTCGGCAGCTACTTGCGAATCGTTGATGTCCGAGGACTGCTCACTTGAGGACTCCACCTCAGAAATGCTCTCGGATTGCACCGGGGCCTCCCTCGAGATGTCCTGAGAATCGCTTTGCGACGACATTCTTCCCTAATACGAGACGGAAGGTAGAAAGGAAAACACTACTCGAAAGTTCTAACCGGAGGCTCCTAACGTCTCTAAAACACCGAATCTAAGAACAATAAAGCTAAGTATGTTGAGGAAACGGAGAACAGATGAAGAACTGACCTTTGGGATTAGAGTTTAATCAAGGGCAAAGGTTTCTCTCTCTAGACTTTTTGGCAGAGCTTTGTTATCACGTAAAATTGCACAAGGGAACTGAGCTCAGCCTTGAGGTATTTATAGGCAACCGGGCCTCGAGAACTGGGCCTCGATTTGAGAAGCCCATCATTTTGGGCCGCCGGTTCAACCAATGAATGGCCCCCGCCCACCTTCAGCCAACGCCAGCATGCCACGTCGACCCCTCTTCCAACGGCTCTATTACAACGGCTATATTTCCGAAATACCGGAGTGCCCTCAGATGACAGCCTCCAGCCATCACCACGCAGTGGCCTTCAGTGAACAACTTTTCACCAATTGCCTTCGAGCACGCAGCAGTATAAGCCTTCGGCTTGTCAATGTTGCCACTCACCAGAATATACTTGGTCAATGGCCTTCGACTATCATCCACAGGAGCCTCCGGTGAACATATGTCACCTGACACCTTCGAGCAAGCAGCAATATAAGCCTTCGGCTTATCAATGTTGCCACTCCTCAATCAAGGACACCCCTCGGGGTTACATACAAACATCATAACTCCTTCAGCCCAAACTCGCCTTCGGCCTAAAGGAGTGGGGGACTGGCACACACCCCTCGGTAATCATACATAACATAAAGCAAAATTCCCACCTACAAAAATGCATGTTGCCCTCGGGTACATGCATCATTACACCCTTCGGCAGAAGCAAAATATCAAAAATTTCCCCAAGTCACTGACAATGATGGAGCAGCCCTCATCACAACACATACAGATGTTATCTACACTTTCTTCAGAAAACCCTTGACATGTGAGGGACTGAGGGAAGCCTTCGGCTAACAGCAGAAGACAAGTGATCAGTCAAAAGCACCCAACAAACAACGAAGCCTTCGGGAGAATAAACACAATTACTCCTTTTTCCTCAAGTACCTTTCGGCAAAAGGACTGAGGGACTCCTGATGGAGTATATGGCCCAGGAACCCCCGGCCCATAGACTCCTACTTCTCCTACAAAGGCCCATTGAGCCCATGGAGCATCCGAGGCCCAAATACAGTGGTCCAAATTTAAGGAGGCCCAAAATGCACACTGTGGTGCCTTCGGCCACCTTGGCCGAAGGCTCAAAAACTAACAGAATAGCCTTTTTGGGCATACAAAGACACCGGGGAAAGCGGCAGAAAATAGGAGCCTTCGGCATTGTGAGCCCTCGGCATCAGGGAAGCCTTCGGCTACACAGGGCCTTCGGCTACATAGGCCCTCGGCCGCAGGGGGAGCCCTCGGCCAATGGCTCAATCATCGAAAAGATCCTTTTTGGAGACAGCCAACCACCACATTTAATGCGACGTCACATCCACCCACCGCATTCAATGCGGTGAACATGCCACTGCTGGTGCCACCCCGATTGATGTGACCCCTCGGCCGTTGGATTACTGACATGTGTACTCCCATTGCATTTATTGCTGCTATAAATAGCAGCCCTTATTCTCCTTGTAAAGACACGCTGAGTTCATTTAATAAAATCGCCTCTCTCTCCTCCTATTCGCTCTGACTTCTCTCTAATTATTCCCGCAATAACCCCTCGGATAAGATACCCCCCGGGTAGACTATCCATCAGAGTATATTCATGCTATCTTTTCTTTTCTATTTCTTTCTTTTCAACAATTCTCTTTTTTCCCTTCATTTTCCTTCTTCACTTTTTATATCTGAAAGTTTTCATCATAGCTGATAGAATTAATAATGAATCACTTAGAAAAATATGGTGATGCAGAATATAGAAAAATATATTAGTGGTGGAATTAAGGTAAGAAAAATAAAAAGTAACAAATTTATGGAAGTAAAAATAAAGTAAAAAAAGTAGTAGGGCGAGAAAAAGGTGTTTTTATGAAGGGAACTAATCCGAAAAAGTGCATAAATGTTTAATTGAAATAATAAAAGAGAAGAAGAAGAAAGAAGGAAAAATTGAATGCATAAACATGGAAAAGAATAAAAGTAAGAAGACAAAAGAAGATAATAAAAGATTTAAGATAATAAAAATAAAGAGAGAACTTTTACAAATAAAAAAAATTGATATGATTAGATCCCAACAATCCATCAGTCATTCAATGAAAAACAAATAGAGAAGAATGAGAGAAAGAAACGATGTATTGAACACAAAATGATGTTCCTCATCGATTAAAGAACAAAATTGAGCGCAAAATCTTTTGAAACGCTCAATCGCTTTCACGATTTGTTGAAGGCACGACGTAGAACTCAAGAAGTTTGCATCACCCTAACCGCAACTTCATGGAAAAACAACAACTGACGCTGGCGGAGACTCTGATTGATTTTTACCAAATGTATTTAATGTTTGAAATTATTTTCAATTATTAATTGTACTTCATTTTTGATCAATTAATTGTACTTCATATTTCAATAAATATACATTGAATTTTTTGCAGCAAATGTGAATCAATTTTTTTTAAATATAGCCCAGCCCGAAGCCCGGCCCAACCCGGTACCCGTTGAAACCCGGACCGGTACCAGGGCTTAAATCCGTGGGCCCGAAGCCCGCCCCATCCCGACCCGGAGCCCGACCCGGAAACGTCCCACTCCACCCCTAGTAAGAGGTATGTATCGTTCTGTATCAGATTGCAATGTACTTGAATATACTCCATATGTTTTTATGCTCATTGGTTTAAGAACAATCATAGAATATTTATCTTATTTTGCAATTATTAAAACGTTCTTACTTGAGCAACTTATAGAGTATGAGTGTACGAGACCATATAGTTTGATATCGTCAAACTTTTATAAAGCTCCCACGATTCAGCTTCTATTCTAAATACGGACTAGAAACAGTACAATCCCAAGAGGATGATGGAATGCTCCAACAAATACAAAAGACGGATAATCCAGTAATGTTCTACTTCCCTATAGCATATATGTAGTACATGGTATAACCTACGCTCTTCAATTAGTAAAAAGTAAGACCTTGTAATCTGTGAGTTAAATGTTCTATAATACCAAATGTCACTTCACGAGCACTCCAGTTTCTTATGCCCATCGGTTTCCAACCTCAAATGAAAAATGAAGAACCCATAAGTTATAGAAGAACTTATATAACCTGTGAATTAAGCGTGGTTATGAAAATTAAAGAAACCATAAATCACCAAATAAAATGTAAGAAAATTGGATGTCACCAAATATATCACAACAAAAGGGCTTTAGAATTTTGTGTAGAACATATGCAAGGAGAATCAAAGGAAACGCCCCTTATAAAGGGCTACAAATGCCTTATATTCAGGGAATAGAGCAGCCCCTACTTATGTCACAGAAAATCACTTTCGCTTTTGGAGACGCACGAGGGTAGGAGATCATCTCCCTTGGTGCTTTTAAAGCCACAGAGGCATCAATGCGGTCTGATTCCGTAATTAAAACTTCCTCAAGGGAGGGAGACTTTGATAGAATTAATTTGATAAAGAGCATTTCCTGTGTTGATCCGTCAAATGATTTCATCTTGACTGTTCTAAGCTCGCCGAGATCCAGATCACTAAACCAACTGTCCATATCTCTCAAAATTGTTGGATCGGCTTCACCATGCAAATGTGACTACATGATAAGAATTAAAAAAAAAATTAGAACATAAATATTCTGATCTTAATTACAAAAAAGACGGGTAATCGGAGGATATTACAACCTGATGCTTTAATATAAACATCTCCAGTTCGCGAAGCTTTGGGCATTTCCGAAGCAATTGAATAACAAGATTAACGCAATTCGCATCAGCAAATCTAAAACAACGCAGCTCAATCACTTGCAGATTTGTAGCAATTGGAAGCCTCTCTTGGATATTTATTGTAGCATCGGTGTTATACTATATAAAGTCAAAGACAAACAAAGCAAGTGGTTAACCTTGAATGAGACAAGAACTCTCAAAGACTAGAGAAAAAACATATGTATAGGGGCCTATCCTTTAAGAATGGTGCAACATTGTACAAAGGCATGATTCTCACCAAAAACGTAAATGCACCGAAGCGAAGAGTCTTAATGACACGAAAATGAAGTTCAAACCATTTCCATTCAGCCACGAACTGGGCATCGGTAAAGCTGAGGTATTTAAGTCTTGGAGCATCGATCACGAACTTATCTATCCCATCACAATCCCAGAACACTAGCACCTCAAGACAAGGAATACGTGGGATAACTGTGAGGCTATCATCACGGTAAAAATCAACGCAACTGAACTCTAAAGAGGTAACACCATAAAACATACTACCCTGTCGAATATTGACTGGCAAACTAATATCCATGTACTCAAGTTGCAGTTGTTTGATTGTCGGGCAGAAAATTATACAAACAGGTAGTTTGTACATATTTCCCATATCGTTCTCAGCAGCAATATTGAGGTTAAGATGCTCAATACCATTTTTTGATAGAAAACGACACCAAAGATCTAAATCAGACTGCTTCATAGCAGGTCTCCATTGAGAAGTGTCCAGAGTGAATTTCCTAACCGGTCTAGGACGGAGAAACAGAGCATTAGTTATCATTCTCGAGCATCTAACGCCTTTACCTTCTCCTAATAAGCCCTCATCACTAAAGACAAGCCGGCCATGTCGCAACCAAACCTCATTCCATTGAGTGGAGAGAAGAGCAGTTTTGGCCGCTTCTCGAGTATCTAGACACTCTAATATTTTGTGCTTTATATCTTCTGGCAGCTGACTTACTAGATCCGACGAAGTTCTGCTCCGAAGAGAAGGATGACTAACCATTAGATCGAAAACAGCTTGTGAAGTTGTAAGCGTGCAAACTCTTCAGTTGAGAAATCGAGCTGCGGTTAAAGGCAAAATAGCCCTGAATTCCTGTTTCTAAATAATAACGAAGCCCTAAATCGGAGCAAAATAGCCCTAAACACCTTATTTTTTGCTAGCCGCGCCCAAATTAGAACATTATTATTGGACTATTATGCCTATATATATATGGCGGCTATATTTGGGACAAAGTAAATTAACCTCACACTTTATCAGTTTTTCCAATAACCCAAATACAACATTTTGCTATCACCGTAAAGTGTAAACCATTTCTCTAAATACAGTTTTCTTTTGTTTATACGTAGTATTTTACAAACAATTAATAATTAAGATTAAAATACAAACCAGACCAGACCAGAACAGACCAGACTTGTATAGTTATAAAAATACAAAGAAACCAGACCAGACCAGTTCAGACCAGATCAGACCAGCAAATTACAGTCCAAGTAAAAACATCCTACATCTGTGATCTGTGTTTATATACTTCGCACTGTTGTACAAAATAATAAAGTTTTCAAATGCAAATCTTTATTATACAAAATAATGAAAAAATTAATTTCCTATACAAAGTATTTTTTCAAATGCAAAATGACCATCCTTTATATTAAACAAACAAGAGTTGTACGTAATTAATCAAAACTGGGCGAAATTAATATTATCATATTGGAATGAAAATTCTTTAGTTTTTTTTTTGGTAAACAAAATTCTTTAGTTATAAATACACAACTAAGGAATTGAAGGTTGGAATTTGGTTGATAGATGTAGAATAGATTGTGAGCCCATTTGGTGATATTGGAATTCCGCTTGAAGTGGCTAAGTCTGGTGAATTATGAAAAAAAACTTCATGTACATTTCGTTAACAATCCAACATTTACACGGTATTCATTTAAAGGTTCGTTTTTATCGAAAATCCATTAAAAATCCCATCTTTGCATATCATATTCTCTAATTAGTCCCAACTTAGGACTTACCGGGTGTAGTACATTTATCCATTATAGTTACAAGTAATCTTAATCAGATGGGTTTTTAAGTGCATTGCTGGACCCGTCTACCTATTTCTTACCTCACGGATTTTCCTCCCCTCCTCCATAAGTGATCTTCTTAAGAACAAGAATATTTCCTTTTTATAGCACTAAGTTATAGCGTTTGTGGAGCTAATGCTATAGTTTCACACCATTAGTCTTAATTGTTTAAAAATGGGCATCTAACAACAACAAAAAACGCTATGCTAAATGGATACGCGAAAATAAAAAGATGGCGGGACAAAACACCTCGCATTAGGGTTTTTATCTCTTTCTCCAACATTCTCTTAGAACCTTTATCTCTTTCTGCCTCATTTCAGCCCTTCTTCTTCAACGTTTACTCTCCACTTCTCAAGCGCCGGGTATTTTCGATTTACTTTCACTCTCTTCTCCTTCACCGTTCTTTGTCAGCCCTAGAGCCGTTCCCCAAAAAATTGAAAAAAAAACAAGGCCCCCTAATTTTGTATACTTTACATCATACATGTCTATTTTCTAGATTAATTGTTCCGCAGCTCAGTTTGATGAATCGCCCCATCTGCGATTCTGCGAAGGAGACAAGGAGTGAAGACGATTGAGACTCGGACAAACCTGCTCCCACCTCTCTTCAGAAAGATTGAAATCTGAAGGAGGAAGACAGGAAGTCCTGGCCGCCTCGCCCCTGGGTCTGGCTTCTCCATTTTATAGCTTCGCAGGTAAGCAAATCTTTTTAACCCTTCAACTTCAATTTCTAGCTTTTATAAGAATATTTTGTTTTATTTTTTATTTTCTTATTTGTTTGTATTTTCAGAATTATTTATAACTTTATAATGATTTACTAAATGTTAATGTGATTTACGGAGTTGATTTCAAAGCCTTGGTTTATAATCTCTTGTTAGTATTTTACTTGTGTTAGTGTTTAGTATGACTCGGTGACTGTGTTTGGGACAAAGTTATAATCTATGGTTAGTATGATTGTAAACTCTTACTGTTAGTATGACTGTGTACCCGGGGGAGGATTCAGTCGGTATTTAGTGCTTAGTTTTTGTTATGACCGGAGATTAGTATACTGTTAGTATACAATTTATATTTTTGTATGACTGGAGATTAGTATACTGCTAGTATCTTGGTATATATGACAGGAGATTATAAACAATTTAGTGCATAGTATTTTGGTTCACATCCTCTTACATATTTAGTGCTTTGGTCATACATCTCCCCACCATCACTTGCAACTCTGTTTTTTCACATTTGAATTTAACTTAACATGAGTGGCTTCCTAGTTTGCATTTCATGTCTCATCAAAATCTTGCATTGGCTCATTTTATTTGGAATTGCTGCAGTATATATGTGCTTATTTTGAATTAACTTGTTGAAACAGAATCAATATACTATAAAAATATTAACTGAAAAGGTCAAAAGGTTTACCCACTTATGTGGTTTCACTAGGTTTTGACAGTTTGTAGGAGTTATTGAAATGAATTGTCGTAGTGTTGGTAAATAACTAACTATGCAATATATTTAATGTATGATAAAGTTATTAATAGTTAGTAAAGGGCAGTAGCTAAATGAATAGGTTATTTAAAACAACTTTCAAAGATATTACTCAATGTACAGGTGGGTGATTACTTTTTTTAACAAACATGTACAGAATGACTTAATGACATGGAGAACTAATATTTTTGAATAACAAATGACATGAACCAGTAGCATCTTTTAAACACAATCATAACATCCAATAAAAAATATTTTGTGATGATAGCACAAAAAATGGGGTACAACAGATCCTAGAGGCCTAATCATTTATCATTACCATTTTCTTTGGTGGCATTTTTATCAAGGGGAAGTGGGTATTTCAAGGCTTTTTTAGCTCCATTTTCTGAGAGCAGCTTTACCAAAATCGATGTCACACATATCACAGAGTGACCAAGTAAAGCAAGACATGAGAAAGCTCTTCACCCAAGTGTACTTTCTCTTCTTCCTCCCACCCTAGCAAACCCTTTTAGTTAGAATACTCCGTACAATACTATGTATATTTTAAATATAATTTTCATACTTTTGTGGATTTGGTGAATTGAACCCTTTTAGTTAGAATTTCACTAACTCTTACACACATTCAGCTCTCCCATTTCTCCTACCAGAGCAAGAAGAAAGTTCCTGGAACTGTGAAACTTCTCCCACCCTCTCTCTTTAGCAAAATCATCCATCTTCTTCTTCAAAAGATCAAGGCTTACACTATCCTTCCCAGTCATTTTTTTTATTTAAAAAAGCGGAGAGACTAACATTACAGAGAAGGGAAAGCAAAACTTTTACGTTGAGTGATTAATCTATAAGATCTATGCATGTAAAAAAGGATAGATCTATCCAATACTCCTTATTGTGTACTTAACTCATTTATTGATAAATTGTTGCTTGTTTTTTAATGACCAATTAGAATTGGTTCAGTTTTTTGTTTTCACATTTTAGACATTGATTGCATCTACCCTCATTCAAGAGATGACAGATAAAGAGTGGGTGTGGCTCCATGGGTAAGAATCGTGTCTTGATCTGTAGGATCGTTAGTGCCAAAAAATTATATTAGTTTAACTAGATCTGGGACATACTTTGTTCTTCCTATCACTTTGTGATAATATAGGATATTGGAGGTTCAAGTAGCATTGTTGCTGAAGGACATTGGTCTTCAAGTGATCCAAATGAGCTTGTACTTTTTGTTCCTTTGGGTCCTAATGCTGTGAGAGTTTGGGTTGATATACCTAGGATCCTGACTGCGTTTCTTTGGAGGCCAACATTTGAGTTGGAATATATTGAAGATGCTGTTGGTACAACAATAGCTTGGCTTGGCCATCTGATAAAGTCATTATGCTTTAAAATGCAACTGGTAAGTATATATATAGGCTGTTAATATATTTTATAATGAATTAGAAATAAATATGTCAGAAAGTTAATTTTTAAAGTAAGGGTGAATTGACTTAGTCTGTACACATTTTTTATATTATATTATGAGCGAGCTAATGTTTGATCCTAGACATAAGTATTTATTTATTCTATTTGTTTTTAGGTTCTGTTTTTCTTCTATTGCATAAAAATGAGCATAAGTTTTTGCTTGACGCCTTCACCTGTTGTGTAAAAATGAATATGTGATCTCATCGTCATTGCATTTTTCAGGGACAATTGGCATAGTACGTTGAAGAAGACAGATGATCTACCAATCAAGACATATTTAATGAAATGAAATTACTTGCTGTTGTTTTTGCATATTATATTTAGTCTCAGTACTTTGAGATATTGTATTATCCATTTGAAAGATGTTTTTGGCACTAAGTACAATGAATTAATGATGTTTGTCTTTTATCATTTTCGACATTTCAATGAATGTTTCTTATTTTGTTGGTTCTAAAATTTAGTTCAAAGATATTTATGGTCTAAACACTAGCAAATGGTATTAATATGTATTACATTTATAATTATGTTTAACCATATTTCAAATGCTATCAAAATTGCCACATCAAATATTTATAATTAGTAAGCTTTGATAGCGTTTAGTTGAGTTGGTCTGAGCTATTTATAGCGTTTTCGAGTGTTATATAAAGTAGAAGGTGCAAATGTGGCGGTCTACCTTTGATAGCACAAAAAAACGCTATGTTTCATATACATTCCATAGCGTTTGAAAACTGCTATTGAAAGCTTAAAACTTACTATAGCATGCTTCCTCCCATATTTTTGACTTCGTCCTTACCTTATCTATCTTCCTCCATCTTCGTAAAACTGATTGCCTTTTTAAATTATATTACAGTATTTGGTGGAAGGAGGGAAAATGCTTTTGAAGCCCCAGGGTACCATACAGATTCTTTTGATTCGCCCGTGGGAAGAGCCGCTAATGTTGGAGCAGATGAATTCACAAAACGAGAACAACACAACGCAGAATGATCAGGAGAGAAGCAAATTTGACACACTATGGGTGGGGGGAGGTGAAAAGAATTTTCTACAGATGAAAATCCAGTAAAAATGGGACGAGTAACGCAAGCAGATAAAGCATTAATAGTGGCTATAACACGACAATAATTACTTAAAACTGTATACCCATTAACCCGTGGTCCACGTGGAGGAGGATAATTCGCACCAGTTG